GCTGCTAAAGAAAGGTTCTGGTAATAGAAACATGTCAAACCAGCAGCAGCCTAAAAGAGGGAGCCATATGTGGGACTCCACATCAATTCTCTTTCTCCCTGGTTCAGTCAAGGAACATTTGAACACATTAAAATATTCTTACTCAAAGACTAACGCATTACACCTGAATCGCCTCTATGCAACTAATTAATTCAGGTTAAAATCCAAAGCTCCCATTTCCCTAAAAAGAACTAATTCCTGCACAATTTGGAAGCAGATCAACCAGAGGTGGTAAAATAAAAAAGTAAACTCAGAAAATTTTTTATATGCTTAAAGGTATAGTGGAGGATGTTCTTTTTCTGGGTCATCAAAGTACTGTAAGTGGTCCTCCTAATTGTCAATCTTTCTGGTGAAATGTTTACGTAAGGCAGTCCTACATGCTCATCTTTTTCTGTGCATGTGCACTTTCAGGCTTATATGTGTGGTGAGCAACGGTTTTAGCTATGAACAGGACTTGGGCTTGTAGTCCATATCAGATTCTACAAGATTTTCCTCTAGAAAGCTCTAAATTCACAGGCAAAAAAAAAGAAAAATCTTCTTGTAGCTACAGAGACACACAAATATTTGCATTTACTATATCTGTATTACGATTGGCTTTACACATATTTTTTTGACATGTTTGCTTGTTATAAATACATTTTCACTTACCGGTGGTGAGTATGACATAGTGGGAAAATTGCAAATCTTTTGGAAAGTAAGCTTGTATGAGTGATGCAAACAGCAACTTTTAAACGGAGTGTGCAGGAAGTGAAATGGGCTTGTGCATGGTCTCGCCCATTTTTAATAGGCGTTCCGTCTCTGGAGCAGATACATTTTTTTGCATGTTTTTTTTTTGTGTGGAGGGGGCGTGTTTTTAAAAATTTTGGGGAATCTTTTTTCTTTTTCCAAAGGCCCGTTTTGTTGTTTTTCCCCAGGTTCGGTTTTGGCCCTGGTTACAAAAATAAACTAAAATAAATTCTACACATGAAATAAAACTCTAAATGTCTCAACTGTCCACTTTCTTCCATATCTGAACCAGTGAAAATCTAGTAGAGAATTATTTTTCCTTCTCACTGCCTAAAGGCGTCACTTTAAAATCTAAAAAGGACTAAAGCTTCACTGACCTCATTGCTTTTCAGAACACCGATGATATAGCAGTCACGTATGAGCCATGCTCATACGTGCATCATCGCTACGATGATGCAAAAAAGAAAGTCATTGGCTCAGCTACAGCCAACAGACTCGCATCATCACTGGTTCGGCTTTCATTCCTCCGCTACTGACAGCACTTGTTTAAATGTATCAGTTAATCAAGATTGTGTTTCTGTCTGCATAGTAAACACCAACAATATCTGGAGGCGAACAGAGTAGATTGTTTTAGGGTTTAATTGTCATTGCAATCTTAAAACGCTGAAACTCCAGCCTCAGTCACTCGCTCCTCTACTCTCTGATTAAAGTCATTATCTCTTTGTGAAGTAGCGACAGGCAGATTTAATGTTATGATTGTTGGACGGAAAGAAACTGTGATAATTGTGGTTTATTTTGATTACAATAAACACTGATTAAAGTTGGCAAAACCTAAACACTGATATTATAGCATTTTTTTTCTCCTCTTGATTTCATGTCTTCAGTTATATGGGTAAATTGAAAAGAACTACTGCATGTGTGCTGTTTGCAGTACTACTTAAATCATTTAGTGTATTTCAGTGTGTCATGTAGGAGGACTCAGTCAGCCTTAAACTGTTAACACTACTAATTTTAATAATTTAATAATAATTAATAATTTTAATTGTGTTTACTTCTCCAAAACAGCTTAGTTACCACCTCTTGTGAACAGTGAGCTGCCGGGTGGGGCCTGGTGAGCACGCTCAGTGGGTCTACTTGGATGAAAGTCAGCACTTTTCCCAGCTCTTATGTGCTTCAGTTCTTCACACCCGACCCTGTCGGCTGGACAGCATTCAGTGATGCTGCAGTAAAGGAATCTTCTATCCTTTTTTTTTCTTTTCAATTAAAACCATACAGCTCAGACAATCTGGCTGAGAGATAGACTTGGTAATTGGATGGTATTCTACTGTGCATTGGCTGTGCTGAGGGACACTGTCCCAATCTGCTGCCTTTGGCTGATCTGACTGGGCAGCATTACACACTTTAAGACTCATCCAGCTGCTTCTGTCGCTTTTCAGCCCACAGTAAAACAGCCCAGTTTATTTAGTCTCAATGGGAGCCCGCATGTCTTAATCGGGGCCTTAAAAGGGTTTGTTTGAAATCAAATTAGATCTCCAGCCTTGAATAGTTCAAGGCCAACATAAAGGGAAGTCAGCAAAGAACAGAACCACTGCCCTTTTATCTAGTAGACACACTGAGTGTTCATGATTTTGTGTTTTATATATATATATATATATACATACATACCTTTTCTACCAGCTCCACTTGGCCTGGCTCTATTCTACGCCGCCATTTCTATAACTGTTTCTTCAGAACCCGTAGTGGGGGTTTTTCCAGCTCTGCTCAAAGTACGAAGGATCAGGCGTGAAAAAAGCAGTAATGGAAACCTTTGGGATTTGGTGGAGTGGATTAGAGCCAGGCCAATTGGAACCGGAAGAAAAGGGGAATAAATGGACATTCTTGTTGTAGATCTCTCAGAAAGACAGTTAAAGCTACAGTCAGTGTGTTATTTTCAGCGACATCTAATGGTCAGACTGGTGCGACATGAACTGCTCCCCTCACCGCTTCTCCCCTTCGACTACATAACGGACGCCATTATGGTACAAAATGCATCACCTATCTTGTCAGGGGATAACAAGGTTGTTTTTTTGACATAGATAACAACCTCGACCAAGGAGGTTATGATTTAATCGCCATTAGTTTGTCTGTTTGTTTTTTCTGTTTTTAAAATAACAAAAAGAAATTGCATGGACAGATCTTGCGGACATTTTGAGAGGAGGTACGTATTGTAACTGCTAAGAAATAATTAAATCTTGATAATCCGGATCATCGTCTGGATCTGAGAATTTTTTTGAAAGATTCTGTGAATACATGCATGAAGTTAAACCAACACTAAGCAACTTTTCAACCTTCAAATATTTTCATAACTTTTGAGATTATTGTTCAATTTACAGCTAATTGAATGACCCCACAGTCATGGCTTCAGAGGGTCGGTACACAAAATGACTACAAATGTGCAGACGGCAGTGGTGCAGGAACATAGGACAAAACCAAAGTTGAATGAATATTTTTAACATCGTTATATGACATTGTTTCGCCACAATTAGATTCATTATGATCACTTCTCATCTTTCAGACAGACACTGGAAACAGGTATATAGTTCAATCCAACTGCAGGCGACAGGGAAACTAGGATTTTACCACGCTATGTGCTTTTCCTATATATTTTTTTTCTTCTCCCAGCTGGAATCTTGAAAGTCACATGACTAGGACGTAAAACAATAGAAAGCGTATAGGCAGAAGAAATGTAACAGTACCACAAAAAAATGGCCATTATTGTACCTCCACTACCTTTTGCAGTGTGGACCAACGTAGTGGGGGTACATTTTCCCATGAGACTGGGTTGGCTTTTCCTCATGAGAAATGCTGTCTTCCTTCAGGCAAAACAATACAGCTTTTGTCCACTGGGGGGAGTCAATATCAACCAAATCTGAAAGTTCTGTGGAACTGCTTTAAGGTGAGAATCACAAAAAGTTGGGAGAAATGAGCTACTTGGCGAAGGTCTGTGCTCTCTCCTCATATAGCACTAAGTTGCTAGAGTCACATTCGAGCCTACTGGCAATCTCTACACTCAATAGTTTGTCAGCTCTGTGTTGCCGTAGATCAAAGATGTCTGCCTCCATAAATGCAAGACCTGCTTTAGTGTAATTGTAAATAGCAATTTTAAAGGCAATGCAAACAAAAAGATTGAGAGTTTCTGTAGCGACCCAACCAAACAACGGTGAAGCGTAATGATGTCCAAAAAATAATATTTATTCTCCTAGAGCCGTTTGTTTCTGCACAACAATCCCTCGTCAAAAACTGTAAGAGCAAAATCAGCTCTTACAAATAAAGTTTTATCCATTAAATAATTCATTAGATTCTTAAGTCTGAAATAAGGGTTGCTTTAATGTTAACATCGAAAATAAATAATCATTTTAGTCAGCAAAACACACATAACTCCACATGAAACATATTTTTGTAACATACCCTTTTCCCACTTTTAGCCAGGTGCTTAATAAGTGTATGGGCAAATCTTTAAAGTTGTGAAATACTTTTTGTATCCTTTGCATCCTTTGCACAGACCAGCGTATCTGCTTTGTGCAAAGTCTACCGTTTTGGTTGTTTTTTTTTCGGCCCGGGAGCACAAAATAAAAGCATGTAACAATAAAAACGGAAATGGCAAAATAAAAGCAGACAGGCTGCCATGTCACCAAAACTCCTTTCTTAAGAGTTCCTTACACTTTCAGTTTGTAGATGATAGTGAATAACATGCTTATATGTAATTTCTGTAAATAAATCCCTGTAATTATTACACACTGTAGCTTTAAAGAAGTCTCAACATTTTTTTTTTCTAATTTGGCTCTAGAATTTAGGTCTGCTGAATTATTTTTTTTCTTTTCTTTTTCTTTCCTTAAGCCAACCTTTGGTTCATTTGAATGCACAGCTCATTTTCTTCTGTAGAAGAGTAACACAAGAGCATGACACTGCCACCACCGTGTTCACCTGTGGGTTATGTGCAGTATATAATAGTTTTCCCATCAAGCCATAAAACCTTTTCCTACAGGTTTATTTTTCAGAGAACTTTTATAAAAAAAAACAAAAAAAAAAACTGTCAATCCTGGTAGTTAAAAGATGAGAGGCTTCTATTTAAAAAATAGACTGGCTAAAGTCAATTTTGTTATTATAAAACAATAAGAACTAACATTTTTTCTCTATGTTGAAAACTGACAATTTTATGGGCTGTAAAACACAGCATGACGGATGTTTGGACCAACCTTCTGGGCCTTGTCCTCTTGAAGCCGACCTTGAGCACGAGCATCCTCCAGCTCCTGCTGCAGCCTCCTGCACTTTGCCCTCCACTGGCGAACAGCTTCTTGAGCCCTGCTCTTCAGTTCATTTCTACTCCTTGTGCTCTCCAGCAGCAAGGCCTCCATCTCCCTCCTCTCTGTCTGCCCGCGGCTCTGAAAAAAATGATTCAATTTATCAACAGAGTCCATGTTCGTTCTTTATATTAACAGACCATGTTTTTGTCTTTGAACCACGAGGCACCTCAAAGAATAGAGCAACGTGATTTATGGCGGTTTCATTACCTCCAAGGCTGCTGCATGTTGAACTTTTAATACTTTGGCTCAGAGGAAAGGTGCCAATCGTGGCACGTTTTTGATTTGAATAAGGAGAGAAAGCGTTTTATTTGATGAAAGTGCTTCTTTTAAAATACCTGTATGTCTTTGAGCTGCTCCAGAATTCGTAGCTGCTGCTGTTCCCGTCCTTCCAGGTCAGACGATAATTCCTGGTGGAACGAAAATAGGTGGAAAGACATAAAACACTTGGAGACGAGATAAAAAGAAATGGCAGGAGGGTGGAACGGCAATAGGGACAATAAGTCGCTAATCCTAACATTTGGATTCTTTACATTTAAGAGGTGAGAGGTGGTCCAAAGAAAATCTAAACCACTCAGGTTTAGGTATGAAGATGAAGCGAGAAGCAACCTGGATGTCATTTTGATGCTTTCCCTCTGTTAGTTAAAGGTAATTAGTCACAGACCGATTAGTCTTGGATATAAGAAAAAGCATTTAAATCCATTTGGCTCATTACCCTCATTATGCTTCGTTTAAGTCAAAAAACAAACATTTCTTTCATCTATTTGCTCCAAGTATAAAAACCATAAGAGAAGCCCCCAGGTGATGCATGCAAACACCCAGTGTATCTCTAAACACCTATTCTGTTTCGGGGCAGGTGTGGGAGGCAGTGAGATCAGACGATGGTGCCAAATGCTTAAAATGCAGCCATATTTTGGCACAGTCCTATGACTGATACTCGAACCAATCAGGAACACCGACACTAATGTGTCAGAGCCTCTTTGGTTTCTGCTGATTTTTTTTTTTTTTTACTTACTTAAGTCTAAATACATCAACATATATAAGGGTGACATATTTCCTGAAACACACCTTAACCTGTGAGTTCAGTCGTAGATTCTCTCTCTCTTTCCGATCCAGAAGCCTCTTCAGCTCCTCCACCTCGCCGCGGGCTGCAGCCTGGTTAAGCTGAGCCCGCAGCTCCGCCACCTCTTTTTCCAACTTGGAGTTATCTGTACAGACACAGACTCAAATACTGATACCATTCATGGCAGAGGAAACTGAGCAGAAAAGCAGAAGATTCAGTTTTAACAGGGACATAAACATAATCTGTGTTTGGCTTTGATACATTTCTGTGGTACGCTGAAAATCATCTAAATGTTTTAAGGCTTTTATAATGAAAATCAAGACATTTATACTCCTAGTCAGTAATTAACATTGAACCTTTCTTGAGCCGAATCCCGACTGAAGGAGATCCATCAGCCTGGCTTAATGCACGGCTTATCAGTGTGGGACGGCTCAGACTCTCCAGCCTAAACCTGACCGCTCACAGTGTGGGAGTTTAGGCTTCCAGCTGAATTACCCATCATTCAACATATTCCAGCCAGAACAGAGAGATGTTTTAATGATCCCCTTTATCATGTGTTAGGATAATGATGAGATTTCAAATGAGATTTTTATATTTAAAATGTTAAAAACTCGCTGCTGGAAGAGTTTTAGGGCTTCACTAACGATTATTTTGCAAATCAATTAATCTGTCTACATTCGTTTTGATTAATCGATCAATAATTGGATAGCAAATGGTTCTTTGAAGAAGACTTTTTACAGTTTATCCTAAATGCAAAATGGTTATATATATTTTTTACAGTTTTGATATAATTACTGCTCTGATACCTAAAGGCATTAGAATCTCTATAATAAAGCTAATGGTTATTCAATCACTAAATTAATTGACGATTGTTTCAATAATCAATTAATTAAGATTAATCTAATTAATTGTTTCAGCCCTAAAGTGTTTTAAAAAAGACATTCTTGCAACACTGTCATTCCAGTAGTTACATAACTGGTTCTAACTAGAGCTGAGCAATTGATTGTACTTGCAATATAACTGCAATTTAATAAAATTTAGATGTACCTAGTTTGGGTCACAATACATTTAACAAGACTAAGATGCTACATTTCTCCTTCCAGTCCTTTAGGTGGCGCCACTATGCTTAAAGCGGGTTTATAGAAGTGAGCTTTTTCAGGTAAAGGTTACAGTAAAGTCCTGCAGCAATAGACTCTGGACAAGAAAGCATGAAAAACTAAAATCCTACATGCTTGTGGTCAAAATAAAGCAGCGATCGTAATATTGGTTTAAAATAATCTCCATTTTGGCTACATTCACACTGCAGGCCTTGATGCTCAATTCCAATTTTTTTGCGAAATCCGATTTCTTTATGATGATCGCAATGATGTCACAGGCCAGCGTGCCCTTTTTCCCCGGAAGTGAACATAGATGGTAGTGCCGGCGTGCATCTAGCGGTCTTTTCCGACCATAAAAACACAATCTTTTCAATATGGTTAAACATAAATACTGCTCTCCGCATCATCGTCCACCAAGGTTGTAGTTTTTCTTGCCGCTTCTGCGTAGCAAAACGCATAAAAGTGACCTTTGTCGAGTATTAATGAAGTTCAAGTCGGATGTGTGGCCGTTCACACACAGGTCGCATTTGAAAAGATCAGATACAAAAATCGGATCTGTGTTGTTCAGACAGCCATGAAAAGATCAGATCCAGGTCGCATATGGGCCGAAAAATCGGATTTGGGTCACTTCAGGCTGCGGTGTGAGCGTAGCCTTTGAGTTTTTTTTTTTTTTTTTTTTATCCAAAACAGTTCAGTGCAAGTTCTAACATGTTCCCGTTTAACTCTAACTTACCCCCCCGGACTTTTTTTTTTTTTAGTCCTTTCTGAACTATTGTGTTTTATAGCTTCTTCTAAGTTTGGAGCTGATCAAACCTGTTTAAAAAAAAAAAAATGACCACACCCCCAAATTGGTTTCAGTTCCCCAACATAGTTATTCCCCTTTTTTAAGGAGTATTTCTAATTTAGCTTTGTGACAGAGTGCTGGAAAAGGTGCAGATCATCACCTGATTGCCCCTCAGAAAGAAAAAAAAGTTTTTCATTCTTATACCAACCAGAGGAATGTCCTTGCACTCTATTCTTTAAAAAAAATGACTTTTTGTTGCCTTTCTGGTCAAAAGGCTTCTGTTTAAAGGGTTCATTGTGCCTTCAGATGCAGACAACCTTCTGCCACTCTGGACTGACGGCAGCACAGTTACTTTGCAAACTATTAGACAGAAAAACTTTTTTTCAGTAACAAGCAAGCCAATTAAATTTAAATACAGGATTTAAATGAAATGGATTCAATTCTAAAGAAAGTTGCAGCATAAAGTTATTTCCATTAAACATTACTTATGTACAGGCTAGACAGGCACATATGTTGATCTAAAGTGCAATAATTTATCTCTATTCTATTGTTAGACTACAGCCTAATATGATGCTCTATGATCCACTTCCAGATTTCCTCCTGTAAATATCAGAGAGAGACGTGGATTCTGTTAGAAAATGAATCAAATATAGGAACTAATTCAAAACCTGACACCAGTGTTGTTTTCCAATCCCAAGTAGGGCAGTCAAAACACCCCTGCATCCAAACCCTTCTCTCTCTCTCTCCCCCTCCTCTGACAGTCTGGTTACCTGACCCCTGGAATTGACCTCTGCCTCCCTCTCGCTCGGTGCTGCTGGCGTGCAGCTGAGAAGCCTCCATTTGTGTCCGGTGAAGCGCCATCTTCTCCGCCTTCGTCTGCAGCAGCTCGCCGCGCATATCTTCCACCTGGGGATCATCGGCAGAGTAAGCAGGCGTCTCTCAGCGCTGAGGGGGGTGGGGGGTATCTGTTAGGTCTCTTCACAGCTCGCTTCATCTCGTGTGGTGACGTTTCCCCCCTGTGCGTCTGCGATCTTAATCAGGTGGAGGGAGCGCAAACAAACCTGTTGAACGAGGGACTCCCTGCTCTCCTCTGACTGCTCCAGTAATCTCCTGGCCCTCCCCAGCTCCTGCTCCATCTAGGGCCAAAAACATGAGAGGAAAAGGTGTTCGGGAAGATGAAATGTCATTTCAGTTATTAAAAAATAATTACAAAAATAATTCATAGGAATCCAATGTCACCTACAAACAGGAAGTTAAATGTAATTGCAATGTTGAAACAAACATGATTATTCTAGTCTGTAATCCAGCATAAACTCAGTCAGACAGTGGATGAACGTGCTCTGATCTAAATCATGGATTTGGACAGTCACTGCCCTGGAGGATCAACCCCCTCCCTCATCTCAAATATCTATAAAACATCAACTTTTAGATGTTATTATCCTGTATTAAGCTCCAATCATCTGTGAAAACTTCTCACCAGCTTTCCTGTCCTTGTTGAAGGAAAACTGTTCCCTCAGCATGATCAACCACCACCATGTTTCATCAAAGTGTAGTTTTGGTCGTATCCAGCACATTCTTCCATAAAGTTCCTTCATCCCCAAACTAATAGGGCATTTTTCCAACAATAACATTCTTCTTGTTAAGGCCAGATTTTAAGAGAGAACAACTAAGAACTGATAAACATTCCCCCATTTGTTCTGTGGATCTCTGTAGCTCCTCCAGAGCTACGGTGCTGCTAAATTATTTCCCAGTCTTTCCTTGGTCTTCATCGAAGATTTTCTCTTTGCTGACTTGTATTTCATTTTATTTTAGTAACATCTATTAAAGGTAGGGCAATACAGCGACACGCTTCCTTCTAATTATGCTGCATAAGTATGAGCTACTTTGTGTTTTCTTTCATATACATCCCCAAACATATTCTGCACCATGATACAACATGGAGAAGTTGTAAGGGTACATTTTGTGTTCTTATAAAGGATTTCAGTGAATCCTGACACAAGGGGCAAACAACCGTGTTTTTTTACCTTTGACTTTTCCCTCTCTGCTCGTAAGAGTCTAGCTGTCATGGCGTCTTCTCTCTCATCGACTCGAACTTGGCTCCCCCCGACAATCTGAAACAAAATAAAACAAAAAAACAAAGAAAAATGTGTCAGAAATTGAAAACTAGAAGTGCTGCTGCATTGCTGATTCTCTCCCCCTCAACCCACTTTAATTTTCTTGGAACAACACAGAGGCATCATGGTGGATGTGTAACATGAGCTTAAATCCCACTCAATCCGAAGCAGTCTTAGCAAGCCGTGGTGATGAATTACCGCCTGCTCGTAATAACAACCACCCGAGTGACTCATCATCTGTTTGATTCAGATCACAGCGGGCCCATCGGTGGGGCATAAATGTGCCCTCTGCTCTTCCCTCCTCTGCTGCTCTTTAGTGGTATAAGAGATGATTTTCCTCTTCATTTCCTCTTGCTCGTTTGTTTACCCTGGATTTTTGGACAAATGCATTATGTCCCACTACTTTTGGGCCCTGCTGGTGTCCCATTAGGGCAGTGTTCTGTAGAGGGATGCAAATGGATCGGTGGCTACTATCACTGCAAAGCACGTTCAGGCAAACTCCTACTTGCAAAGTTGGTTTGCAGCGCATATGACTAAACAGTGCCCCCCTGTGGTTAACTTAGAGAATGCAGGGAGGACAGATAAAACCAGACCAAAACAAAAAAAACAAGGCAAAGATGCTTCAGTAATTAAAAATTAGCAAACATTATCATAACAACGTATAGCATGAATCATTTCTGTGGCTAAGTGGAAAGCAGCAATCAGTAAAAAGTGAACCTAATTGCAGCAGTCTCTCTGCTGAAACTGCTACAAAATGTTACATTTGTTTTCCTAATTTTAGTCGAGGAGCTAAGGAAAGAGGGACTCATTTGTTGCACAGATTATGACAGCACTTATGAGTCACCGTCATGATATAATGATAATTACAATTGATTTAACATGCATTAGTTAAGCCTAATTTCCCTTTCGGTTGCATTTCTATACCCTGAAGGGAAAAACTGCTGTTTACAGCCAAGTTTTTTATTTTTTTTGTGGCAATACATTTTGGCAACAATAGATCTACTCAACAGCAGTCAGAGTAGTAACCATGGTAACATGCAGTGATTCATAATTACAGTTGCAGGCAAAAAGTTTGTATATCCATCTAGATCCAGGGCTTTTTGCACATTTTTGGTTGTGCAAAAAAAGCTAGAGCTCAGTCAGATTAGAGGACACTGGAATGTCGATTAACAAGTTCTGCTACAAATTCTCAGCTAGGCTCTGGTTTAGACTTGGACTAGACCACTCCAACACCATAATCTGCTTAATCTAAAACATGTACTATAGGCTGAGGGGCTTAGTCATACTGATGGAAAGTGAAAAAGCCTCTTGCATTATGTTTCTCTGATGTTTTTCAGGGTTTTCTGTTATTTGTTGCATTAAGCCTATTACAGACCTCTAGTTTGGCTTTTTCTCATTTTTCAGTCTTAAGACCATAAAACTAGTTTAAACTAAGACTGCAAGTAACAATCCTTTTGGTGATCGATTAATCTGTTGATTATTTTTTCAATTAAAAAGTTAGGAATTGAATAAGAGCAAAAGTCTCCTTAAAGAAGATTTTTTTTTTTTTATTCAAACCAGGTGGTTTCTGTTTAGAGTATTCTTCTTGATTTCAAATAAAAAATGTTTATTTTTGGCATTTTGGTATAATTATTGCTCTGAGTGGGTTGTTCTTTCAGCTAAAGGCATGTTTTACAGTCTCTATACTCCAGTTAACAATTAATCGATTACTAAATTAGTTGATGATTAATTCAATAGTCAAATAATTATGATTAATCCAATTAATTGTTTCAGCCCAAGTTGAAACATAAAAAAACCTAAATTTTCATATGATGATGAGATTTTGCAGTGGCCTAGTCAAAGTCCAAAGTAAATCTATTGTAAAATGCTGTGGCATGGTTAGATTGGATAGTTTCATTCCATTAATAAATCCTTTCATCCTCTAAAAAATGCATTTTGTCTGTAATTTTATCAAAATATGGAGCACTAAGGAACACTTTTCTAAACTAGAGACATTATTGCAATGAGCTACGTAGAACATCGCTGTAACCTCAGACATGGTTTCTAACAAGAAGAGCAGCCGGTTCAGACGAGACTTAAAGAAATGAAGAAGTACTGTACTACGGAAGGAAAAGATGCTCTTTGGCCTAATGATATCAAAACAAAACAGGTTCCTTTGTTATACCGCATTAAAAGTAGTGAATTAACAAACCCACTGGTTCTTATTTCTAAACACACTTATTACCAAGGCTGGAGGAACCTTCTGTGACTTTCAGAATGAGAAAGAATCTCTCTGGAGACTGGAGAGATCACAAAAATAATTCAGCTGTCATTTAGAAACGCAATTATATCACTATTTTCTTTCCCAGAGCCGGCCGCTCAAAAGGCTGGTGCCTTCTTGGAAAATTGAGCCTCATTAAACTGCATAAATACTGGCAAAGTGTAAAAATCACTCTGCTGCTGCAAAGTCCTTCATCATGCAAAGTGAAGTGCTGCTGACATTCTTTTATCAGCAGAATTTCTCCATCTGCGAAGGAGAGAGAAAAAAAAAAAAATCACTATCAAAGTCCGTCCAGCAGACGTAGCAGTAAAGGATCATCTTTGTCTGTCAGAGCACCGCGTCGCCGTAAGCTTCAACCGTCACCGCTGACTTGAAGGATTTGGAAACCTAAAGTGTTTAAGCTGAATGTAGATAAAAACAGGATGTCTGGGAAATCTTAACGGAATGGAATTACAGTGACTTCCGAGTGCTTCATCATGACAACCGCAAACTTCAATGTGTTTCAGTCGGTTTCATCCGCCAACACAAAAAAGTGCATCAGTTAAAGTAGAGGGGAAAAGGCAGGTGTTGTTTCTTTGACTCACTTTTCTTTGTAAATGAAAACCTAAAATCTGGAAACATTTTCAGCTTCCCTGAGATGGTCACTACCGGCTCTGCACGTCTACAGCCTGATATTTTCCCTTCTTCTTAGCAAAATAGATGAAGCTCAGTCATCTATTTTGCTTTAATCTGATTGGTTCAGATCCATTTTTTCCAAACAGTGATGATGATTTACATTTCTCCATCCCCTCCACCCCATCAATCAACAGCTTTTCTTCTAGCACCAGTTTATTTACCAAAATTCAACTATTCCAAATAAAATACACTGCAGAATAACATCCCCACAGCATGATCCTGCCTCCACTATGTACCACTATGAAGTCTCATCGAACCAGAGAGGAAAACTTTAACCTGGTCTGCTGCATCACTTGTTCGTCATGGTGGGTTTTTTTGACTCTGGAGGGGCGAGGTATTGATTATTTTTAAGAGTAACTGGAGTAAAGCTGAAGATAAATGCCCAGTATTTCTATTTCTAACATATTTTGAGAGCCTTTTTTTAATTCCCCACATTCATTCACCACTCTGTGTTGGTTTATCACTTATTCCACTAAAACATGTCTAAGCTTAAGGCTGTAACACTCAGTAAAATGGGCCATTTTGTTCTCCTTGGCTTCCTTTTAATCTCTTTATTCATCTTGATGTTGAATCTGTGTGGAATTGGTTTCATGATTCCTTCAAGTTCCTTTAAATGTGCCGCTGTAAGGAGACGTGACGAGTCGATAGAAGAAGAAGAGGGTCACCTCCTGCTGGTGGTCAGCCCCATTCGCCCGCCGCTCTGCCCTTTGCTCTCTGTCGGCGCTCCTCCGCTCGCCCTGCATCTCCCTCTCCAGCTCATGCAGACGTCGCTCCACGCGAGATGACACCTGCGGAAGAGGAATGAGGACGCCTCGGGTCAAGCAAACATCGCCGCTGCTGGAGCGTCGACGAGACTTGATTAATGACATGACGGGAAACGAAGGTGTGGGAGTGAAGAAAGGTGGGGAGGATTAAAAAAAAACAACCTATGATGTCTGGATGTAATACACCCACCCCCCCCATCTAATCGGGAAGCAGCACATCCTCCTTTAAAGGACAGTTAATACCTTTATCTCCTCACGTCTGCAGACAAGACGAGATAACAAATATTGCACATATTGGCTGTCACTTGGAGCAGCGTATCCGCCACAACGCTGATGCTGATTATGTGCTTGGAAATTAGAGCGATAGATTTGTTTTCTCTAAGCTTGTTCTACTCAGAAAGAGATTTATTTGCATTAAATATGCTTTAACGCATCAGCCCCAAATGTTCTCTACCATCTTTGGTTTGTCCTCTCAGATTCATAAGGCTAGAAACCAACAATGAAGTGCTGGAGATGAAACCTGCGGCCCAGCTCACCGTTTCCTGCCTCTGGGAAACCGTCATGTGCTCTGTGAGATTCTCCATCGCCCGCCTGTTGTCAATGTCAGACCTGCAGAAGAGGGGGAAAAAAAACAACCGACTGAGAAAATCCTACAGCGGCTCAGAGAGATTCATTTTCACGACACAATCAATCTGAACGTAAAGGCATAATCTGAAGCGGCAGGAAAATAATTACACAGCTTCGGATGTTGAAATATGATGGGGGATCAATTTGTTCTGGTCAGCAGCATGAGGGAGTACAGATTTGATTTTAATAACTTCAAAATGTCAAGTTCTAATCTCTGCTGGAGGAACGATGTGCTGTCGTCTGACTCTGCTCTGTCTCTTCTCATTTCAAACAGCCCTTTTTTTTATTAAAATACCTTTAAAGACGTGAGAATCAAAGATTAAAGGGAAACTTTGAGCAGGTTTGGTCGACATGTGGACCAACATCTGAAAAATCAACTCCATCAAGGTGTGAAAACTAAAGGCACGTAGACTCCATCCAACAGGCTAAATATGTAATTGGTCTGCAGATGGTGAGAGCATTCAGGTCATTTTAGTCAAATTTAGGCTCCTTTTTAAAGTTAAAATAAAATTTTGAGTTTATATCAGATATTTCTAGGGAAGGAAGGAAGGAAGGAAGGAAGGAAGGAAGGTATTTCTAAGGAAGGAAGGAAGGAAGGCAGATATTTCTAAGGAAGGAAGGAAGGAAGGAAGGAAGGAAGGAAGGAAGGAAGGAAGGAAGGAAGGAAGGAAGGAAGAGAGGAAGGAAGGAAGATATTTCTAAGGAAGGAAGGAAGGAAGGAAGGAAGATATTTCTAGGGAAGGAAGGAAGGAAGGAAGAAAGGAAGGAAGGTATTTCTAAGGAAGGAAGGAAGGAAGGCAGATATTTCTAAGGAAGGAAGGAAGGAAGAAAGGAAGGAAGGAAGGTATTTCTAAGGAAGGAAGGAAGGAAGGCAGATATGAAGGAAGGTATTTCTAGGAAGGAAGAAAGGTATTTCTAAGGAAGGAAGGAAGGAGGGAAGAAAGGAAGGAAGGTATTTCTAGGAAGGAAGGAAGGAAGGAAGGAGGGAAGGAAGGATCTCTGCAGTTTTCCAGGTTCTCTGCAACCCTGTAGATGATCAAACCCCCCTACTCTACCTTTGAGCGGACAATCTAAGTAAATATGCTTTACAGGCTTTTTAAACCTGCCTGTTTTTTCCCCTTTCGCTAATTACTAAGTCGGGGTTAAAGAAAACAACCACTGTTTTTGCAGATACAAAGGCAGCATTCAGTAAATTCTGCTGTGAATAACCTGCAGTGTTGAGTAAAACCAGCAGATACCTATTCCTCCTGAGGATTTCTCTATCCAGGTCATCAGACAGCCTCTGCTGGTCACAGCGCAGATCCCGCAGAGTCTGGTGCACCGTATGAATCTATGAGACAGACACAGAGGCGGCCATACTGAATATAAAGCATGAGACACTGCTCCAAAACAGATCACTACCAGAATACTACACATTTCCTATAAATATGAGAAGAAAACTCTGATACAGACAGTATCTAATCAGAATGAAGTCCAAAGAAGAAACGTTTAATCCAAACACTGGAAAGCAATTCTTGATGTTGCTGACTCAGTGCGCCCTCTTGTGGCGGCTTGGTGACACTACAAAGCAATAAGTGACACTTGCACATGCTGGACTGTTACTCTTTACATTGTCTGCTGCCAAGTTGGAATCCTTGAAGCGGACGCCAGCAGACTGAGACCTCCTCCTCCTTCCTGGACTGCTACTGTAATCCCTGAGTGGAGAAGTGGGATAGAAGCGCTGCTCCTCTGAAAGCACAAAAAGTTTAGTTACAGTTCAGCTGATAAGATATAAAACTAAACAAAAAAAAGGAATCAGAATTCAGCTCTACTTTATGGATAATTAATTATACCTGATCCGGAGCACGCCTCCAGGTCACTGGTGTGCATGCTAGAGGCCGAGGAACTGCGGACCCCATTGCTTCTGCTTCGCCTCTTTGTCTGCAGCTGATTGATTGAATCCTCTAAGCTTTCCCTGAGCTGACAGAGAGAGAAAAGATAACACACATTACTGACAGAACACAAAGACAGAAACCACCCTAGTTAGCTATGCGAACAGCGAAAACAGAAGTGATTCAATAAAACAGGCAGAACACGCATCCTAAATGAAATAACTGCAGATGAGAATGGGATAGTGTATTATAGAGGAGGGGGGGTTGAAATTGAATGATGAGAGATGAATAAATAATGAGATAACTGCATCCAACTGCATCTTAATGGTTTTTACAATGGGCTCAGACGCGCTTGGCTCTAACACTGATGCAGGTTCCTTTTGGGCATCCAGATATTGTTCTTTCTTTTTTTCCTTCTCCTAAACAATCCTAAGACCCTACAATGGAACTTTTTATACTTCACACCCTTCCTTTTGAGAAAAACATGCCTAAATTATATATAAAAAAAAACACTAACTGTAACTAATACAGATAAACAATCTAACAAAGAAATGGCTTTGATTGCACAAATTGTAAGAAACGTTCTAATACAAATTAAGCCTGACTTAGTGCAGGAAAAAACACCTACTGTTAAAGTTTATCCACACAAATTTAATTCAGCTTTCAAATAATTTAAATGAGCAAATGGGTCATTTAAAGTTGACAACTGAGGCAGATTTTACTCAGTAGGATGCTAAAGTTCAGAGAGAGTGATGACGACCAGAAAAAGGGACAACAGGGACAATAATCTCCAACAAGGGAATTAAAATGCTGTGCAAATCTGTCAAGGTCACATTTTATCCTCTGACTTTCACTTTGTTTATTAAAAGTTTCTATTGGTGAAGCACGTTATCTTTCCAAAACCAATCGCATAAACATAGAATATTGATGATCTTCTAAAGATATCCCTAGTTTCCATTGTCTACAATACCTGATTTTTGACAATTTAAAGCCAAAAAAATAATTATGAAGTTTGCATAAAAAAATCTGCAAGTTGAAAAAAAATGTTATCTAAAAAGTTGTTTCTCTTTTTAACAAATGTTTATTTTTAATGTTTCATTTTTTGTTTTTTAATAAACTCTTTTTTCAGCATTAAATGTTTTTTTAACAAACTTTCTGCCCCAGATGCATGTAGGTACCTAGACAGATGAAGAGCTGTGTACTGTGTGACAGATGATCATCATGTCAAAGACCCTTAACTACACTGACATTTTAAAGAGTTCCCATTGAAAGCAAAGTTGTGCGAAATGACATTTTTTTTATTCCATCAAAACCAAAGGAATAAAAACAAGAAAATAAAGTTATATTTCACAGAGAAGTGTCTCACCAGTGTCATTGCTTCTGCCTGGTCATCTGCATGCTCCCTGTACTGACCCAGCATTCTGTCAACTTTGGTCAAGTTTCTACTGGTGTCCTGATGCATCAACAAGAGAAGACAGTTGATTTCAAGAGTTAAAAATAGAAAAAAACTAAGGCAAATATAGAAAACTAAGGCAAATATATTCATATTGCTTTGTCCTCAGGGTAGGTGCAGATTAATGTATGCGAATATAAAGTGGGTGAAGTCAGTGCAGGTGTTTTCATTTTCAGTACCTGTAAAGTATTTGCCAGGGTGCTGATTTTATCAGAGAGATCTAAGTTTCCTCCCGCATTGTCTCTGCTTCTGTCCCGCTCAGACCTGCGGTGGGATTCACGCCCCCGGCCTCTGTTCCCCCGCATCCTCCTTTCGTATGAGTCCGACTCGCTGGAGGTGTCCATGGCTTTTTAGTGGAATCCAACCAGCAGAAAGCAAAGCTAACCGGAGCAACAACCAGAACCGCTAACTGTTTGCTCTAATGTGTATTAGTTCGCTCAGCGGGGTGGCATAAAGGACAACTTTTTCTATAAAACATAAACATGGCATCGGCAAACTACATTGACGATTTGACATCTTGATTTAAATTAACAGATAAGATAGATAACTATCCAAATAAGGAGACAGCTCCACATTTGAGGCTGTATTTAATCTCATAGACCTCGTTGTTGTGAAGGATGCTCCAGCTGGTTAGCAACAAGTGGGAACTAAGGAACGTTAGCCGCCTAGCTAACCAAACATTAGCCATCTAATTAAACCAATATAAAAGCACCTAAGCAAAATTAAATGACACAAAATAAAATATTATAACTATACTGTAATGGCGGCCCGGACAGGTTTGCTGCAGCACAGATAACTAGCAGCAGACGCCTGCTTCTCTCTGCTATGGCAACTTGAACTAGCCGCGTCTGAGCTGGGAAAACAACGGTCCGCAACGTTCCCGAGGAATTCTGGGAAATGGAGGCTCTGTACGGTGGATCTGTGAAAGAAGATGGTATAAAAGGACTACATTGTCCGAAAGGAGGCTTTAGCGCCAGTGCTGCCGCTCTACAACAAAACCGTCTAAAAATACAAACTTATATTAGCAGTTGTGAGTTTTAGCTTATGTTTAAAGTTCATTTTAAAGATGACACCTTGAAGAACTATAGACCACCATATATCTGAGGAATACTATTGTGTATTTATAACCTTTCACACTTTACCTATTGTTTTTACAGATATGAAAATGTAGGCTGGTTTTAAGCACTTTCATGTGACAGACCATCACAATGTGCTTATTTCACATGGTTATATATGGGCATTTGGGTTCAATGGTGTAACAACACAACAATAGGCCCATAAGCAACATTATCTGGGTGGGCACCATATGAAGTATAACACCCTGTATTACCCATAATTCCAAGTCTTGGTGAAAAAATTAAAATACTCAAATACATAGTTCTTTTAAGATATTTATTGCTGATTGAAACATTTTATATGAGCATATTTTTTTTTTACCAACCGTTTAATCAAGTATACACAGTTATTAACATAGTAATTAAAAGTACTGCTGTCTGCTTAGCTATTGGTTTTGTGTTTAATCGGCTCGCCATAATGTTGAAATCTGCAATGTGTTGGGGTATAAATAAGGTCGGGGCAGTCATTTTAAAATCAGGTAGATTTTTTTAGAGGAATTTTCGCACAATTGCGAAGGGGGCCTACCAGGTGTCAGTGACGGGGCCCCTAAGAGGTCTGGGGCCCATACGCAACTGCAGTCTCTGCTTACTGATAGTTACGCCATTCTTTAGATTGACCCCATTTACTATGCTACCCTTTCAAAAAAGTACAAAAACAGGGGCCACCTGTGGTCACCTAATTAGATTTGTGTAATTTTAATGTCTGCTGCTCCATGCAGACCTCAGAGGTTTGTTGGAGAACAAATGTGGGGAAAAAGCAACATAGTGACCACGGGGGAGTTGTAAAGGTTTGAAGCTGTGGTGGACTACAAAATAAGCATCATAAACTTTACATATGATAGAAATGTACCCACCTTGAAATTGAAAAAAGGAAGGGCACCAACCTTGTCAATCAATGCACACCCACCCAACAGACCTGAAGGCGATGAGCGCCAGATGATACCACCTCTATGAAACTGTCATAGTTTTCCTTCTGTTATGTTTTCTTTGAGTATTCAGTTTTACTTTGCTCATTGTTTTCTAGTTTTAGTGGTTTAATTCTTATTTTGTTGTGTTTTCTGGTTATTTTCAGGTTTTTATTTGTTGCCCTCTGCTGCCCTCTTGTGTTCTCCTTTTTCCCTAGCTCCTTTCCTGTTCTGCTCTGTTCACACCTGCTCCCAATCTGCTCGTTAGTCCTGTCTTTGTTTCGGTCTCCCATAAATAAACTCTCTGTTCAGTTCCTCAGTGCTGGTTCCTCGTCAAACCTCCTCCAACTCAGTCTCTCTGAGTCTTTCTCATCGTGATAGTTTCCCCCCTGATGCCTCCATGTTTTCTGGTTGGTTTAACTTTTTTCTTGTTGAATTTGGATTTTTGGATTTTTCAAAATCAATAATCCCAAATGCCTTCCTGTCTCTGCATTTGGGTCCACAAACCTCAACCAAATCCTGACAGAAACATGGTAGTGGCTTAATCATGCAAAGGGAATATGTTTTTTCAGGAAAGAAAATTGGATCTGGTATAAGAAGGTTTTAAAGATTACATAAGTGAAGAGGGTAGCAATACACAGAAGTAAACACTGAGTCTAATGTATATATGTGGGATGAGTAGAGGCGACATCGCAAAATATAAATAATTTTAAAGCTGTATTGGCGACAGCAGCGCTGAAGGAGGGGGGACGGGGATGGGATGGGGGGTGGAGGGTCTAACTCTGCCTTCCTAAGTCCACCCTCTGGTTAATAAGTTGAAGACCACCTCCAAACCCACCACAGAGGTGCAGCTGTCCGCCCCGCAGCATCCTCAACCTTCTGGGCCCCTGCAAGGCGCGCTGAGCCCACAGGACCACCACCAATTTTCAGCAGGCGTGCATGTCGTTGCGGAGCAGCTCGGACACCGGAGGCTCCCCCCAGCTGTACCCCAGCATGCAGGTGCTAACATGCGCGCTGCTGGCGCTCCTCAGGCTCCCCATCAGCTGCGCCGGGCTGCAGGGTGACTCCCACCCGGCCAGGGGCAACTGCTCCGAGTGGAGAGCGAACACAATCTGCTGCAGTGACATTGATATTCTCCCGAGGTTCCCAGCAAGCACAGAGAAACTGTAAGTAGGCGTACTAAACACATCTGTAGAAGCCATTCTGCTGTCTCTTTTCATGCATTTTGAATGTTAAAAGCGCTCTTAAACCCGAGGAAAAAACCATTACGCTATAATATTCCATCAAAGTGCACCCGCGGGGATTTTAAGGCCGTCTTTTACTAAGCAGTTATTCTCTTTTCAGGTATCATTCTGTCCATTAGTGTTAGGCAGGTTCAACTTTTTTTTTTCTGCTGTGCTCAAGCCTGACTTAACTTTAAGTTATTTTTGATTTACTGTGAAATGTTTAAGGGTCTTCAAAAAAAAAAAAAAAAAAGTTTCAAGGTAAGTGCTGCCTTAACTCTACTCCACTGATGGCACTGAATAATTAATTTCAGCACTTCTCACACAGACTCTACAGTAAGATAACATGAAAGCCCACTTTCCAATCAACAGATGACACTTTGTTGACTTCAAATTGATAGAGATAATTGTTTCTATTGTAAAAGCATTGACAGCCTCATGCTGTTTTTCCTGTTACCTGCAGAAATTGAACAGATGGTATCATCATTGTTGGAAGAGGGGCTAATCAGATCACATAAAGTTGTGTTTGTGGGTAACGGAAAATTCTACAGCGTTCCATGCAAAGCACCCCATATGGGAGAAATATACTGGGAAAAAATGGCATGAATTAAGAGCCAAAGTGCTATTGACAAGAGAACTGTGAAAAATCACAGTGCACCCGATTCTTCTCCCTTTTTTCTAAAAGCAAACTTCCAGTAACACCAAGGCAGGCTGCAGAAACATTTCTGACTGCCTGTTGGTGTGATGTTTTAATTAACCCAACTTTGTGGGATTGAATTAAACAGCTTACAGTAGTAAATTTAGTTTTATTATGCAGACATTTTCACCCATTTTTTGCTAAAGTTCAGTCAAAGTTGATGGAGGGTTTCTGTGTACATTAGTTTCAATGTCTTTCAATAGCTTCTCAGTGACCTTTAGGTCTTAACTTTGAGCCATCCTAATATACATATTATACTGGAGACGGTCTGTTTAAGGTGGTGTGCAATAGTAGATTATTGGGTGAGAGAAGCTCAATTTCAGACTCATCTGACATTTTTTTTTCTATCCTAATGCCACACAGCTTGTAGCTTTCTTTCAACAGCAGATCTCTACCTCCCATTCTTCCATGAAAACCAGTTTTATGTCATTTCAACCGATCCTTCCTCCTGTGATCCTTAGATCTCTGTTTTTCTAGTAGTTGCCACGGGTTTCTACTAGGGCTGAAATAATTAATTTGGTTTAATTGAGATTAATTTATGATTTAAATAATTGTCGACTAATTTTGTAATCAATTAATGGTTAACTGGATTGTAGAGACTCTAAAACGTGCCTTTAGCTGACAGAGCGACCCACTTAGAGCAGTTATACCATTATTGTAAAAAATATATATATAAATTTTGCATTTTAGATAAAAACTTGTTTGTCTGTCAATATGCTCTATCCAGAACTCCTCAAGTGAAAAAGTTTTAGTTTCACCCGGTTTCATTTCTCAAAAAGTCTGCTTTACAGAACCTTTTCTTTATTGGTAGACTGCCGTCACCACACTTTTTGATCTCATCTTTAGATATGAGTCTATGACTAAATTATTATGAATTCAAAAAGCTTGAAGAGGACTTCATTTTTACAAAACGGTAGCAAGCACACCACACTGTCTAGATTATATATTTTATTTCTTCTAAAAAAGGAAAACCATCATAGTCAGTTCTTCCTTCTGGTGTTGGTCAATTACATGAAAACCATTAAAATATTATTTAAAAGTGATTTTAATGTGAAAAAAATGTTAAAGAAACAGTAAGGTATCATTATCCAAGATACTTTTATATAAAATCAGAATATTTATTTTTTTTATTAAATAAGACTCATGTCAAACCATTCTAACTCTTCTTGTATCATAAATCTCTTGCTAATCTTTGAAAAGCTCCTCTGATTTATTTTATTTTATAATTGACTTATTGACCACAGCAGCAGTTCTCTGCTATGTTGTCATAATCTTCATTCCTGCCTTGTATTTTCTCGCAGTGCCTCTTCATCCTTCAGCAACCCTTTGCATTGAAGCCATCACATAATATTAGCTCCTGATCACTGCTTCAATTCACTGACACACATGCCCCGAGTATCTACTTTTATTTCCTCACATTCCTGCCCAAAGTTTACCCAGTACCCCTTAGGAGGACAAAGGACATTAATGCATCCCCTCCAAGCACTATAAACTGTTCGGGTAAAAATATCTCCCAAATAAGCCCGAAATAGATCACGTATTGACCAGTATATTCAAGCAAATGATGCATTGGGAACTTTGAGTTCTAAGTGAGGAAAATGTGACCCCTTCTGACCTCATCAGGCCATGCCCATTGGTTGTGAGTTTATATTTCTGTACTGGCTTTCTCTGTCTGTGAGCTTATCTGTAAATGTTTTTACAGTTAAAAAAAAGTGTTACTTTAATACCTATAGAGTTTAATATAACTCCCATTGAGTTAACATTGGGTCCATCTCCAAATTAGTGTAAAGTTTACATTATAGCCAGTGTTAGCTACATTTATTCATTTAAGTGTCAAAGTCAAGAAGACATCTCTGAGACTGAGGAGTAATCTGTCAGGATTAGTGGATACTTGTATGTTGCAGACATTTAATGAAGAACTAAAAATACAGAAGCTATAATCTAGAACCGATCAACAAGAAACTCGGGAACCAAAAACTAAAGTTTTTAACTATAGTTAAAAAACTGTGGGGGTGAAAGAATCGAAGGAATGAAGACAATCCAGCACTGAGGAACTGCCCAAGATGTTTATATATGGAACAACATGGGCAAATCAGCAGATCAGGAGCAGGTGTGGATAGAAGTAACTAGAAGGGAGCTAGGGGAAAGGAGACTGACACAAGGGGGCAGCTGCTACTAACTCAAAAAATACAAAACTGCTTAAATAGAATACAACTTCAATTACACCGATCAAAGTGTAACTGAAAACTCAAAAAGACAACTTAAACAGAACCAAAAAGTCCAGAAAGGGCAGAATCATGACATAATCAACACTATATAGAGTAAAAGATACACTGCGTGGCTGTCAGTTTTTATCATTAACTATTAACTCCAACATTTGAGCAGATTTACACTCAGTATAGTGGTTAGTACTTTATGTATAGTAAAATAAGTTGACTCTGGATTTTTTTTAACACCCATTTTTTTTTTACTGTTAAGGCTATCACTAAACAAAGAGTATAAACAGAGTATGAAAATATAGCAGTATAACCAAGCATCTGGCTAAAGAAAGCTCAAATGATAAGGGTTTCCTTTTTAGAGAGTCCAGCATTAGAGACAAAGCAATGGTTAACTAATTGTATTATTAACCAACTATTCTATTGAAGGAACAGTAACAATCCATTAACTTCTTAAGTACTTGATATTTTTTGTTATTACACAGTTGCAAAAAATACTTTAAAACGAACAATTCTGGTTATTCTGAAAAAAAAATCTGATACCAAGTAAGCTGTTATGAATCTTGGCTTTCTCTTTAAGCTATGCCTTCATAGCATGTTTTAAATTAGTATTTTTATTTTTTTTTTCAAATTGAACAATCAAAGATGATGTCCCTTGAAGTCATATTGCCAACCGAAACGGTTTAACTTTTAGATGTTTGGAACTGAAGTGTGTCTGTTTTCCTGGATTTGAGCTTCGACTTCAATTACAGTAGGACATAAAAATTATATTTAACAAATTCGTACCAATTTTATTAACCTTTTATGTAATATTATAACACTTGTAATCATGATTAATAAAGAAAAAAAAAACAGAAAGTTTCAGAAAAAGAAACAGAAAAATCTGCTGCTGTAAAGTAAAATATATTTTAGCCAAAAAAAAAAGTTATTTATTTTAACCAAATGTAAAGTCAAGAACAGAGATCAGTTTTTTTTTCTCCTATGAGACCGCTGTGTGTGTGTACAGGTGCATTTATGTGTGAAGGTTACTCCATGTGTCAGTAGGAGTCAGAAATGTGGAAAGCAAAGCAAAACACGCTCAAGGTCTGCATGGCATGACACCTCTCTGAGTCTGGGCGATGCATTCAGGTACAATATTTACCTTTTACAGCACATTTCTCAAACACCCGCCGAGCTCCATTCAAGAATGATTAGGAGGGGAAAAGACTTAGAAAGGTGGACAACTTCAGTCTCTGAGAGACCTGGGAGTTTTATGACTGAAAACGTGTAAATTTGATAAATCAATATTTAAACTTTGATGATGATTTAATGCTCTTCCTGAAATTTATAATAGAACATTCGGTCTGGTCTTTAAAAGTCGACTGATTTCGCCAAAAGTCAAAATTGCATGTTTTTTCAACCTGTATTGCAATTGTGATTTTATTTCGATTTTTTTTCACTAACTGCAGCTTGTAGATGTGTTCTCCAAGATTTCATTTTTCCATGAATTTGAAAGCTTGCTTGTTCAGAGTCCATTGTTGTTACCCTTGTGTGAAAAGAGCTTACTTTGACTTGCATGCATGGATTTGTACGCCAGCTATGTATTACTGTCACCTAAAGGGCTGGAGAGAGAAATGTAATGTCTCACATACCTCTACAATTTGAAAATGACATTTTGTTAAATTTCAGTTCTATTAAAAATACAATTATTTGCCCAGTTCTGGTGTTGACCTGCATTTCATGTCTCTAGTTTTCCAGTACCGGCTGATACCAGTGACTTAAGTGTATGTGGATTATGTCAGTGTAGAAAAAATATTCTTATTAATAAGTGAAAATAAACATTTAATTAGGCAAACATCTTGCATATCATATCAAACCATCATTGGTAAGATATGAGGGACTTTATGAAAGACGCTTTCCAACTGAGAGATTAAATCTTTCAGAAAAGCGCAGGTTTTACATATGATATGTAATTCATGCTCTCTTAACTGCATAGTTTATAGTTGAGATTAAAAGGGACAAATCTCCTTGTAAACAGCTCCTCCTTCAATCAAATAAAGCAACAACAACCAATCTTTTTTTTTCCTGAGGTGGTAGTTTCTTCTTTAAACCCAGATGGTGGGTTAGACAGTCTTCTCTTTATTCTCACAGGGGGAAAGACGTGCTGTTTCCAGCTAAGGTGTTTGGTGCCAGGATCTGCTCTGTGTCCCTCTGTTTGTTTGAGTTTGTCAAAGTGCGCACAGGAGGGCCAGGGTTCCCCCTCTGTCCACCACCAAATGGCACTGGGTCCACCCAGATGGGTCCGATTTAGACCTATAGTCCAGAGCTCAGTCTCTGAATTAGTTCATTGTTTCCCTGACAAACTAAAGGAACATAAAAACAAGCTTTGCTTTGGCTAACTGTTTATTGTTCAAACTTTTTTTTTTCAAAAGCAGTATATTCTATATAATGCTTATAGTTGAGAAAGGAAGGAATGGACTTAATCACGTCTGCGTCTCCTGTTTAGCTGGAATTCAACACGACAGCTTCACATGTGGCTACAACCCTAATTTCCTTTAACACAGTTATTAAGATTCCTAAGACTACCAAAGGGAAAAATATCGTCTAAGATTACATGAAATACCATGTATATACAGATTTTTTTTACCACTATATATATTTTTTAAAATCTATTTTCCTTTGGAATTATGTAGGACACAAACACACTGAAAATTAAAATACATGGAAGTTCTTAAAATGTGAAAGATAAAAAAATAAATAAAGGACATAAAAATCCTAAGATAAGACAGAAAGCAAATTGGAGCACTAATGGCAGCTAAAAAAAAGATCCTTGAAGATAAAGAGAAGTATGGAAATATATCAATGGGAATGTACCATGACTTACATAAAGAGGGGCATGATGTATTTACATTAGGTCGGCCTCAGCTGATGGCTGCTCACACTGAGCCTGGTTCTGCTGTACGTTTTTTTCCTGTTAAAAGGGAGTTTTTCCTCTCCACTGTCGCTACAAGCATGCTTGGTGTGAGGGATTGCTTTCAAATCAATGAGTCGATGCAGTCCGCTGGTTTTCCTTAGATAGAAAACTTTGAACCAATGTGACTGTATGATCTAGTTGAATTATCTATGTAAAGTGCCTTTAAATGAGAGGTTGTGAATTGGCAGTATATGAATAAACTGAACTGAATTTAACTTTTCTATGATATCGATCTCTGAAAGGGATCTACGATGTACTGGCTACCTTCTTTTCTTATTCCTTTATTTAAATTGGGACAATTCATATTGATTGACATGTTCACAAAAAGGTTCAATATAAATATGCCAGATTAAGCAATATAGGCTAATTTTCATCTGCTACCTCATGCAGGTTAATGTAAAAGCATGAAAGACAAGACATAAACACAACATACAGTACATAAAAGACATGTTAAAATTAACAGTTAGTGAAAAGTAAAGTCCATTAGCAACACTTGTTAGTTAAATCATATTGTAGAAAAATACGGATACATACTATTTTTTATATTTTTGAAAAAGATGGAGTATACAGTGAGTAAAATGTTAAAAAAATAGATTAATGTGAATTATGTCTGCATGTTTGATTATCCAGGAGCCACTTTTTTCTGATAAAGAGAAGTTTTCTCAGTGATTCGATGTTCCTGAGATCTGTGGGAACAGTGTTTCATGTGTTTGATGCTCTCACAGAGAAGGCCAATCACCAACCCAGAAAGTGAAAGAAGCATCATTGTGTTTTTTTGTTTTTCCAGGTCGCTCTCTGAAACCAAACTTTCATCCATTCCGGCGAATGCGTTTGCCAGCATGGTAAACATCTCAGGAATGTAAGAGCTTATTTTTATTTCTGGTTTATACATTCATATTTATCCATCTATTCTTTTGCACAAATGTCTCTCTTTTCCTTCAACTTAACTTATACAACTGTTTTACCCTTTGTCCCTCTACCCATCCATCGTATATTGTCTTTCTTGGTATAGTTGCTAAACCCTAATGACATGTGGAAGGGCTTTTTGCAGTTCAGCAGCAGGTTTGGAAGTTCACTAGTTACTCCAGTAGAATGCTAGAGTCCCAGTAGGGGTGGAGTCTATCTGTTAAAGTAAAATGTGACATTTGAGTGCGCTTGAGTCTTGCTCTTCATCTGCTTAGTCCACGTCCAAGTGCTGCATGAGTGGAGATGGACTTGGATGAAAGGTTTTCTGTGAGCCTCAAGTACACATAGCAGAGGTTTACATATATTGTCATAAAGTAAATATATTTCATTAGAAACAAAGGAAAATTTTATAAAAAGGAACTAAATGAATGAAAAACATCAATAAACTCAAATAAACTTAATGAGATATTACGTTATAATGGATGGTTGTGAAGTAGAAGAAAGAAAAACACTTTTTTCTCAATCTTTCTACAAATTTAGAGACAGATAAGTGTGCATGTATTTTCATGTAGCGCCTTTTCTGTGCTCCATGAAGGTCTGATAAGGTTGCAGGAAACCATGAAAAAAATAAATAGCATCGTAGATGAAATTTCCCAAGATTTGGGCTCTTGAGCATCTAGTCAGACCTGTAAAGTATTTCTCACAATATCATGGTGCTCTTCCCAAACTACCATGAAAGGAATAAGCAGCTAAGAGATCAATCAGATGAAGAGCAGATATTCATAAAATCAGGTGGGAGAGTCTTAAAGGACAACTAGTGGTTACGTTATAAGTATAAGTTATATAGCCATATGCTATGGAAGTAATATAAATTACTGCACTCGGGACAAGCGTGTCAGATAATGGATGGATGGATGGATGGATGGATGGATGGATGGATGGATGGATGGATGGATGGATAAATAACTGCTGGAAGTCATGTGGACTACTGTCAGAGGACA